TCTTTCATAAAGGCCGAGGTCAGGGATCTTGGGCCTAAAAAGGTTGGTGACCACTGATCTACACTATATACACCATAATAGCAAAGCAAAAACAGAACTGTCACAACTTTGTAGATTTATAAAAAAATTACATTCAGTACTTAGCTAAAGCACCTTTAACAGCTTCAAGTATTTTTGGGTATGATGCGTCAAGCTTTGCACATCAGCATTTGGCAATTATCTGCTGTTCTTCTCCTCACCTCTTCACCTCTCAAGCTCTGTCAGGCTGGATGGGGGCAGACGCACATTTTCAGGTTTCTCCAGAAATATTTGATTGGGTTCAATCCCGGGCTCTGGCTGGGCCACTCAAGGACATTCACAGAGTTGTCTATAAGCCACTCTTGCTGTGTGCTTAGGGTCATTGTCCTGTTGGAAGGTGAACCTTCTGCCCAGTCTGAGGTTCTGAATGCTCTGGACTATGAGCAGTGCCTGGTTTCCTTCAAACATGATGCTTGGAATTGAGCTTCATCAGACCAGAGAATCTTGGTTCTCACAGTCTGAGGGTCCTATAGGTGCTTTTTTTGCACATCCCAAGTCTGTTTTTATGTGTCTTCACTGAAGAGAGGATTGAGTTTGGCCACATCGTCATGAAGCCCAGATCGGTGGAGTGTTGCAGTGATGTTTGTCCTTCTGTAGGTTTCTGCTATCTCCACATATGATCATGGAGTTCAACTAGAGCGACCATCAGCTTCTTGGTCACCACACTAACCAAAGCCCTTCTCCATCAATTGCTCAGTTTTGTCAGGAGGCCAGCTCTAGGAAGAGTTATGGTTGTTCCAAATGTTTTCCATTATGGATAATGGAGGCTACATGCTTCTGTGAACCCTCAATGCAGCAGAATTTTTTTCTGAACTCTTCCCCAGATGTGTGGTTTGATGCAATACTGTCTCTGAGCTCTACAGGCAGTTTTTGTTTACCCCAGGGCTTGGTCTAATATGCATTTTCAGCTGTTAGACCTTTTATTAAGACATGTGTGCCTTTCCAAATCATACCCATTCAATTGAATTTGCCACAGGTTAACTTCACTCAAAGTGTGGCAACATTTACAAGCAAAATGAATGCTCCTGAGTTAAATTTCAACTGTCCCAGATAAAGGTATGAATACTTATGCAATGGAATCATTTACGTTTTTTATCTTTAATAAATTTGCAAAGATGTTAAAAACCTGTTATTTGTTATTATGGTGTATGGAATGTAGATTGATGTGGAAAAAAATAATAATTTAAAGCAGTTTAACATAAGGTTGCAACAAAACAAAACGTGAAAAAAAATGAATTGAATACTTTTGCAAGGCACTGTATATGGTTGGGGTGAATAATTGTGTTGTCTCTAAGGGATATTTTAGCCTCTGTGATGATTTGAAGATGGAAAAAATTGAAAAAATGAAATTTAATATATGAGAAAATATATTTTCACTTTTATGAAGATTTAATTATATTCTAAAAAAAATATTAAAAATGTATCAAAATGTATCAAAATGTGTGAAATTATAAAATTAAAATTATAAAATTAGTTTATTATATATCTATATACAGACCAGTTTGAGGCAATAACCCAAGATTTGATGGCTGATTTGTGATTGTTTTTGATTGATTCATTAAAAAGAACTGCCTAAAATAAGTTGTTTGTTAGTGAATCTGAGTACACCGCTTGCACCGTTTTTTGTTTTTTTGCGCAGCCAAGAGAAAGATGTGTTTTCTGTTTAGTGTCTGTATTATTTCGCAGTGGCCAGTCTTTTCTTATTTATTTTGCTGAATCACTGTAGAGATTCAGTATAGGTGCACAGCGCTGCTGAATAATGGTGCAGGAAACAATTTACATGAAAATTATTTGATTCCTGTATTTTTTTTAAACTTAAACTTAGGAATTAGTCCAAACATAATATGTTTTGTAGCAATTCATGAATATAAAATTGGAAAATTAAAAAATGCCTCCAAATAAAGGTGATTGAGGCAACCAAACTAGTTCAGCTTTATTTTAGCTCGCTCGCTCGCGGTCATTCATTTATCATCTAATGGGTGGAAGCATTGAAATACTTCCTTAGGGCTTTCTGAAAAGGGCTCGTTCTGTTGTGCGCATTTCCAGGATCTATAGTGTGGTTTCTAGGCCAAAAAGTAATTTTACTTTAACCCACCATTCCTCTGCTTCACAGACCTGCTCCGAAATCTCATTTTTCATCTTCATGAATTTTAGCCTGGTCTTATTGACAGGACCTAATGGAACGTGAAAAGTCACTCTGGTTGCCTTGTCAAGAAATACGCAGCTTCTGGAAAATAGAGTTTAAAAGTTGAGCAGGCGATTTAGAAGTGCGCAGTGAAGCATTTTGGCCCACCTTGAATGGATCACGCCGAAGCTCTCGTGGGAGATTTAATGAGGCTTTAAACACCTTCACATGGAACGTTTCATGCTTTCATTTTGTGCCACAGTGAGATTCATAACCAAGACTTAAAATTTGAGAAATACTTCGATCTCATTAGAGATAAAGGCTGAAATCAGTAACACGCCATCCATGCTAGCACATCAAAATGTGTAGGAAACAGAAAGAAACTCTGTTTACTTTAGCTGTGCCAGAAGAATCCACCGCAGTGCAACAGTCACACACTCCTTCGCATATGACTCCAGCAAGTTCAAACAGAATTCTTCCCATTTGAAATAAGAAACATTGATTTGTCTGACACATGTTCACTGCAGACTATGTGTGAATACTAATTATACACTGTGGAACTTTATTGGTAGATTCCAGGATGTGAATGAAAGAATGATTGTGAATGAAAAAAATGTCTACAAAATAGTTTTTAGGTCATTTTCAAGGGCACAGTCTGTTGAGCGGTGTCTGAAGCAAACCCATAGGAATTGAATTGATAGTTTGCTCTTTTATAGTTTAAGAGACATAATGGAGCTCTTAATGTTGTTTAATTGAAGTATATCAATACTTGGAAGTAAAATGACACACAGATAGGACAATTGTTGATATATACAAAATAATTTAATGAGAAATGGTTGAATTTTGACTTTTAATTGCACACTTGTGACCCTAATGTGAGAGATGTTATTGAGATGGCTTTTATATGAGATGCATTTGAGTTTATTTGAGTCTCTCTCTCAAAAGAATCCACAACCCAGGCTCATTGGAAATACGTGACTGCCTATGTACATTTCTGCAAAACCTGAAATGTGTTGCTCTGGGTAAATTTTGCTGCATTTTTCAGGTGACATGACATGACTTTTTCTCCATTGCACAAAGTCACATATTTCCAATGAGCCTGGGTTGAGAATCCAACCTAGCTTCTGGTCATTACACATCAAAACGGTTTCATTTGGCCTGATATTTATACGCCATAAGTCACTATTTGAATGCATATTATTCACAAAATCCATGCAATAACTTTGATTGATTGAAAATGTATGAGCATGCAGCAACACTTTTGCCCTCAATTAAGACAAATCAGCCAACCAACACAATTTCAAATCAATACATATTGGCACCTGTTCATATCCCAGCAATGCATTTTACCTCAGCCAAGACCCTTAACCCTACCTGGGTTTTAATTTTAAAGGAACACTCCACTATTTTTGAAAATAGGCTCATTTTCCAACTCCCCTAGAGTTAAAGAGTTGAGTTTTACAGTTTTCGAATCCATTCAGCCGATCTCCGGGTCTGGCGGTAGCACTTTTAGCTGTAGCTTAGCATAGATAATTGAATCTGATTAGACCGTTAGCATCTCGCTCAAAAAAGACCAAAGAGTTTCTATATTTTTCCTATTTAAAACGTGACTCTTCTGTAGTTACATCGTGTACTAAGACCGACGGAAAATGAAAAGTTGCGATTTTCTAGGCCGATATGGCTAGGAACTATACTCTCATTCCGATGTAATAATCAAGGAACTTTGCTGCCGTACCATGGGTGCAGCAAAATAGTGGAGTGTTCATTTAAAGATCCCAAAATCAACCACAGTGCCAATCTTTTTTTTTTTTTTCGAAGTTGAAGTTGAAGTTGTTACCTGAGTGAGCGAAATCAGTAGGATTTAGTCCATCGGAATAACATTAAGTAGCTTTTTTTGGGTAAAAGAAAATCCTCTCTGGGTCAAAATGACCAGAACACAACATAAGGGTTAGTGTGAAAACCAGGTTTGCCATCTGGGATTTTTAAGCCTCTATGTCAATGGAAAGGTTAAAACACACAGAAAGAGTTGATGAAACTGTCAGAGCTCAGAGGAAACAGTGGAGCTTTAGTAACATATGAGCAGAGTTAGATGATGGTTATTAGATTTCCTAGTATTACTGGTATTAGATCTGTAGTCAGTGGTAAAAGACATAGAAATTAACACATGTTGGATTTGGCTCATTTAAAGTAATTTCAGAGGCAGATAAAGTTAGATAAACATTCTTTTTATTCTAACATGGGCAGATTAACTGTACAAATTATGATCAAGAATAGTTGACCCAAAAATGAGCATCCAGTCTTCATTTTCTTACCCTTGTCTTTTAAATTCTGATTTTCTGTAGTGACTAGAGACTCATAAAAGTTGAACAGATTTGGTTGTTCTTCTTCCATGCAATTACAGTGAATGGAGGCTACTTTTAAAAGGATGTCAAAGCAAAAATATGGTGATTTTACATCCCTTACGGGTTCAGAAACACATGAGTTAAGAGTGAGTAAATGACAGATTTTCATGTTTCGGTGAACTACTTTAAGTAAGTAAATGGTGCATTTTGATTTCATGTTGACTTCAAAAAGGAAAAGGACTAAAATTGTTGTGCTTCCACCAAACTTCTTACTCAACTAACTTTATAAATGACTGTTGAAAGCCTCTTCTTCAGGCAGTTACCGTCGATCCACGTTTACTCTGAAAAGAGGTGCTCAGCGTTATTATCTGGCCTTTGTGTTGCAGGAGGAGTCCGGGGAGACAGATAGCATAATTCAGCAAAATAAGATGTTTTCAGTGAGAGGGTATGAAGTAGGTGGTTTGTTAACCAGGTAAATGAGGGAACAGTGGGAGGACAGCACAGTGAGAGAGAGAGAGACTCCGACACTGAGCCTCGTTGTGAATCAAGATGATGGCAGTGTAGTCTGAAGCACACATAAGTGGCCGAAAGTCTCATAAGCGCAATCACTCCCCATTTCAGCTCCGCAGCAGGACGGACAGCTCTAGAGTGCTGAAGGCTCCCGCTACATTTACCCTTGTCTTGGCCTGAATCTTTCTGCTCAATTTCTCTGAAACAAGACCCCCTGAGAGAGATGGGAGAGATTTCAAGAAACATGTCACACTCAGACATGAACACACACACACACACACACACACACACATATATATATAAAAGGGTGTTTCTGCACCTATTGGCAATTTTGGCCCTGTGGACTTTTAGAAAATAAGCTCTCTTAAAAGTTTGTGGGTTTTTCCAATATATACATCCATAACAGGAATATTCTGTCTTTTTTCTGCTACAGTGTCATTTCCACACAGTGTTATTTTATGCTTATTTATATACTATTTTAGTATTTATTAATATTCTGAATTATCTTACATTTTTATATTTCAGTTTTATTTTCATTTTAGTATAGGTTTAGTTAAGTTTTAGTAATTTATATATATATATATATATATATATATATATAATTTCTATTTAGCTGTAATTTATTTTAATTTCAGTGATTGTAGTACTCCAACTTCAACTTTTGCCACGGCAACATTTCATCCAATATTTATATTTAATAATATTTCAGCTTAATTTCAATTAACAGAAACAATTTTTAATATTCAATATTTTACTCGTTTTAGATTTATTTAATAATAACACCACCATTTCCACCAAATCCATAATTATGTATAAATAATGCTATGGTGGAAATTAAATTTTAAACATTTAATTTTCATTTGATTTGTATTCATTTCAGTATGTGTCCTATATTTTCACATGATTTTGCATATTTTGATCTTTAATCTTTGTATTGTCTTGTTGCATGCTCCTTGTAGTTGTTGTACTAGTAATGAATTGCTAAATATAAATATATAAATATTATTTAAATATAAAATTGATATAAATATGTATTCACAACAATATTAAAATGTTTTTTGTTTGTTTTTCACTTTTTGTTTAGATTATCATGTTTCATAAATATAGGCCTACTAATTAATATGTTAGATGACAGATATAAAATGTTACTATTTAAATATTACAGTATTTGAAGTATCTGGGACAAGGGTTAAACCATAAAATCTAATGGCTCATATATCATATATAATAAAATAAATGTAATAAAAATGAAAACTATTTTAGATTTAATGCAGCATTCATGTAACAAAAATATAAAAAACTTTCACATTTCTGGGACAACTCGTACTGTAGCTTGAAGGATCTCTATAGATATACTGTATATTATCATGGGGAGATGTCAAAACAACCATTGGCTGTGGTTCAAAAGTTACTTGTGAAAGCATAAATTGTAAGGACTTGTTTTGGACAGGTTTGAGGACACTTAAAGGAGCACAGCAATAATTGCTCCCCTGGAGACTGGAAAAAAATGGCCTCATTCCTGCAGCCTTTGGCCACCGCAGTATTTATAGTGTATCTCCCTCTTTGTTAAGGTGGAACCCAGCACCAAAATAAAGAAAGATGGGTTTTTTTATATATCATGAGTGCTTTTTCTGAACACCGTGTTACTTTTGAGGATTTAGCTCTGTTGAAGTCACATGGCGTGCTGGGCTGGCTTTCAAGAGAAGCTCCCGGTGGATGTATAATTCAAGGTTTCTATTTCACGTCATGTCCGCAGAGAGCATCTCTTGATGAACGATGCATTGTTTATGTGATCTGTGCACCTGTCACTTCATCTCCAGCGGCTAGGTGTTTAAGTGAAGTGGTTAGATCCACATTTATCATTATCAAGCTAAAAGGTTAGTAGAGTTTAATCCGCAGTCCCCATACCCTTTGCTTGGGCTTGATTTCCAGTGCGGTACATGTGCATGCTAACTGCTCTGGTTGGCTCTGATCCACCCACTCAGTACCATTAGATAAAGTGTTTCAGCTGCTCAGCGTGGAAGAAACACCCCGCCTGCTCACTCCAAAGATCTCTTCAAGGTTTCGTTAAATAGCATTTCCCACGCTCAGGGAAGGCAGGAGCTGAAAACGGTGGAGATGAGATGAGCACATGTGTGTTAGCTCACCCAGGTGACTAATAATGGATCATCATCATGGTTTTGACAACACAGTGATGTTTGGAGCTTTTAGAGCACGACTATTGCCATCTTTGAGCTGCCTTATTTTCCCCATTTTTCTCCTTCTAAGGCTTTTCAAAAAGATCTGCAATAACAAGCTATGAACCAATGCGGCCAGATAAATCACAATGAAAACTTAATTTGAACCAAAATATTTGAAAATAGTGCAAAGTCAAGCGATTCATTGTGTTACTTGCTGTTTCTTTGTAATTATTGTATTTGTGAAATTGACTAGTAATTTCTGAGTGAAAATGTTTCAAAATAAATCGCCACCAATTTTTTTTTTCAGTGCACTTATTTTTCAAGCAATTTTTCCCATGTTTCCCCTTCTTAGGCATTTTGAAAAGATGTGCAATAATGAATTTTAAAGCATGAACCAAAGCAAACAGATGAATCACACAGAAAAAAAGGAAAAATCATGAAAAAAAAGTTATGTACAATGAAAAAAAATATCTAAATATACAAAATGTTGTGTATACTTTAAATATGCTTAAATTATTTTATGAGTAAATGTAGTACTTATCCCATGAAGCTTTGCAAATGGAAATAACTGTCAATCCAAAATTATTCACCATTAGTCATTATAATATAAAATACAATATATATGTTGTTTATTGCTAAATATTCAAACATATACAAATACATACACAATTTGCAGTGTGGCAAAACACAATTGCATTATTCACAAGTTTTACGGGAGTGAGCAGTCATGAATGAATATAGTTTCTGTTTCCATGCAAAAACTCTTTATTGGATTATGCATAGTTTTGATTTTAGATCTTTAGATCAAAAATCCATATGCTGAAAAACAAAATTGATGTAGAAACAATTTTCACTCTGAAATTAAATAAATTTCATATATTATTACAAACTGCAAGTAACACATTGATTTAACTTGAAATATTGAAATATTTTTATTAACAGTGTAGTTATTAAAACCATTTTACCTCTGCCCTGTACAGGATATAAGGAGCTGGTAGAGCTTGCTGTAAGCAACACCAAGGTCATGGGTTTGATTCCCAGCAAGTGCACATACTGACAAAACACATAACTGGAATGCCATGTAACTTCATCCACATTACATTCATGCATTTGCTGCAAACTATATCTGTCAAAAGCATAAATGCATTTTTGCTTGCAGGGTGTTCATAACATTACTCAGTTACAAACCACATCTTTTCGAATGTGTCTAATGTGCAGTTATAGAGTTTGTCTTGTTCGTGCACTCACATATAGTAGATATTAGTGGATGAGGGATTGTAATGCTCAGATTTGATAAGGCTTTCAACACTTCGATGTAACACAAAGGCAAAAGCCCATGAAAATGTTTGGCAGCCAATTAAACCCCAGAACAAAGACAGGCCTGCACACAGTATCCAGTGGGAAGAATACACATACTTTATGTTCAAATCTCCACTGATGCACATCATGGAATTATCTCTATTTATAGGACTCTTTATTGTCTTTTTTTTATTCTACATATGGAACACTGTAGAGTTTGAAGCCAAAATTGACCCTATTTAATTTCTTACAGTAACATGTTATGTTTTTTTTAGGCAGATTATAGATTATAATGATTAAACATGATTAAAGTCACTTCAATATACCTAACATTAACACCTCTAAAACATTATGCATTTAATGTCAGCGTTAGAGGTTGTGATCATCTTTTCTTCCCTATTATGATGTATATCCAAGTGAAGCTGTTTTTTTAATGAAAAAAAAAATGTATTTGATTTTGTCTATTGGGAACTGAATGGATCGTTATTTGTTAATTGCTGTGCTCTCATATGATTATGCTGTGGTATCATTTGATTAAAGTTTATGAGGGCACATGAATTAAAAATAATAGTTATGTGCACAGATAAATCATAAACAATGCAATATTCCATTAAAAAATTGTGGGATTTTTCATTTAATGGTAACTTTAAATAGACAGCATGATAGAATAAAAAATCCACACAGACTCACAGTACTGAATTTACTAAGACCATTTTCCCATCCTAGTTCAAGTGCAGCCATCAAAATAAATATTTCTGAGCGCATTTCGTTAAAAAATTCCCAACAGAAAATACGGTTAGGTATTATTCTGCAAAGCACAGTAATGCACTTCTTTTATCAATCTTTATTTCTCTTTTCAGGTTGTCCCGTGGCCATTAAGCGAGTAGGAAGTTCTAAACGGTTCGCTCTGGCAGCAGCAGCCATGATGGCGATGGATTCTGACGTGGCACAGGGACCATCTGTCTCTTCTGCTCAGCCTCTCCACCTGCTCTCGCTCTCACCCATCAAGATTCCCTTTCTGACGGCACCTCACGCAGGTAGGAGTACAAAAGAAAACGCTTTCATTAGTGTCCCTGTGCTCATGAAAAAAATCCCCAGTGGCCGCCTATCAAACGCTGCCGCTGTCCCAAAGGATTTTATCCTAGCTGCGGTTTTGGGGAGTAACTAACTAAAAGTAACAACCCTTTAACGCAATTACGTTTTGCAGTGACAGCAGCTTGGCTGTTTTCAAAACTGTGAAGTTTTTCCAGTAACGTGATGTGATATAACTGTCACAATGGTATGATTGCGAATATGTTATTGCTTTTATACAACAGTGCAAGATGTTAAAGGGATAGTTCACCCAAAAATCTAAACTCTGTCATTATTTACTCTCCAGGCTGTTCCAAATCTGTATAATTATGATGATCAGTGAAACATAAAAGACCATTTTTGAAGAATGTTGGTAAGCAAACAGTTTTGGCTCCCATTGACTTCCATTGTATTTAATGCAAGTTAGTCGAAATCAAAACTGTTTGGTTACCAGCATTCTTAAAAATGTCTTTTTGTTTTTTCCTTGTGGAAGAAAGAAATGCATACAGTAAGCAATGACAAAATATTTTTTTTTATTTTTGAATGGATCACCCCTTTAATATTGAGTGACTTACAATGCAAGTTACTTTGTAAATTTTTGCTCCTCCATAGAGAATATTTCCAAACGAACCATGAAGCATCTAACAACGCACAGTAGTGGTGTTACTGAATGAATTAGTGTTGTTGAATAAATCAGGTAAGTAAATGATTCAATGAGTGACTGGTTTGTGGTCCATTAAGGCACAAGTTATGGTGTGGTAGTACAGTATGTCCCAAAACGTGCCTACTCTACTGCTACACACTCAAAAGCATGTACTTTTTCTTCGCAAAAAGAGTACATTCATGCATTTAGGGAAGACTATAAGTATGTGAATAGTCAACCTGAACAAATCAGTGATGATGAACAAATCACACAATGATTCGATGACTCACTCATAAGGTTGCTTGTTTAGTTCCTGATTCAAAGAGTGTGTCTGAATGAATTACATGCTTGAATTATTCAATGACTCACTAACTGTCACTTGTTTTGTTACTGTATGAATCACAGAGTTAATGATTCAGTGACTCATTCTTAAGGATTGAGTCAGTTATTTAATTCCTGAGCATTGTTCAGTGTTGTTGACCGACTCAGGTGAGTGAATAATTCAATGACTTACTTGTAAGGACACATGTTTTGTACCTGAATTGAATCAAGGATTCAGTCACTTTTTGCAACCTACTGTGACATAATGATAAGACCAATAGAAAGAATCACAAATAGAGCAGAATTTGTATTATTATTATTTTGTTTTTGATTAATATACTCATGATTTTGCATAAACCAAACATTGCATACTTGGTTTAGTGCGCACAAGTGTTGTTTTGTCTGACCCACTTGGTATGATTCTTGGGTTCATAATGAGGGCCTGCTTTCTCACAAAGCTTCTGATGTCCTAATTGGTGAATTGTAATTGCAAATGCCTTTCGTTATGCAAATAACACAGTTTTTTAGTCAGGGGTTGTCAGAAATAGTCTGCACATTGTCTTTTTCCATCACTTTAAACTCAGCACGCATGAAAAGCAAGGTTTACAGTGCATTTCGGTAAAAATGAGTTTGTGTGTTTGCGTACAGTGCTTTGATGCAGAGTTTTAGAGGGAATTTGAGGGTTTTATGGTTGTCGTTTTGGACTTCCCCAAGCAATTACAAGAAATGTTGTTGCTTGAGCACCCATCTTCTTGCTGAGTTTGTTTTGGTGTTGTTCTTACCATAGCATTTCTATTTCTCTGAAAGAAGTAAGAGTTTCACTTTGCTGAAGTGGAGGTTTAAATCAACGGTCAGTGCATAATGACTGAACTGAATGCAAGTACGGCCGTTCGTTTGGTGAAACAGACAGAGCCTATCCTTTTTATTTTCCTGTCTTTCTTTTTCTCACTATCTCTGCCTTCATGCATATTGATTAACTGTTTCCTTCCTTTGTTGTTCAGTGAACTTGTACAGTCCCTCTTGCGGGTGGATTGCCTGAGGTGAAAAACCATGCGTGTGTGTCAATAAGAGTGTGTACATGAGTCTGAGTGCAGATCTATATATTTTATGAGCAAATGTATGTATTTTTCAGCTCCGGTCATGTACTGTATGTGGGTGTGAGGGATGAATTCTCTGCTGTGAATCAATAGGAAATGCGGCCGTGGTTGTCAACATGCCCTGTATGGATGACAGGAATCCTCCCCTGGAATTATTTCCTTTTAGCCAGGCCTCAAAAGCAACATTAAAGCAAACAGGCCAGCAAACCCCAAAGGGCTTTTAATTTAGCTCTAACGATGTATATGCATGTTTGTCTGATGCTGTGGTAACTGGATCACTCTTTTTGTCTGGTCCACGCAGCATCAGCCCAATGCATTTGCACTGTAATGACGCTGTAATTTATTCTGATTGCAATCTAATAGTTAAGGCAGGAATGATTGTCGTACAGTGTGAGGGGAGATAATGGAGGTGTATTTCTCTCTCTGGATGCAGTGTTTAAGGATGGTAACTTATATAAGACACAGAAGGGAGCGAGTTCAGTAGGCTTATTCATTAACCTAAAATCCAGCTGAAATACCATTGCACAGTGATAATTTTTATATTATCAAATCTCATGTATCATGTATTATATATAATGTTATAAAAATAATATGTACAGTTATTTTACAATGTCTATGACTGGCTATATAGTATGCACATGTAAAAAAAACATGTACTCTATAAAATATTTATAAACATATATAAAATATAATTGTTTATGTTACACATTTGTAATGAATTTGTAAGTTTATCATTCATTTTAAATTCATATCTTTGAGCCACGATGCAGATGTCTTGCTGTCTACAGCCTACATAGGCAGCTGACTTTTAAGTTAGCATCTTAATGGAAATGGAATCTCAAGTTTGTGCGCCATACAATTAGCGATACTCATGCTTTATCGATTTAACTGCACTGCATTGGATGAGAACAAATCTGAAGTGAACTGAGCTGGATAGTGACACTAACTTGCAAAATCGACACCGTTATTAAACTGAATTGATACAACTTTGAACTGACTCGAGGTCAATAATGGCACTATTATCTTCTGTTCTGTACTCGTTTCATAATTGATGAACATTCACACGTTATTGAACTGAATTTAAACATGATTATCTTCTGTAGAACTGCTTTACAGCTACAGCTTTGATATGTTTTATAACTGATACATTTTAAAACATTTACAACATTATATTCCTGATTATTAATGTGAAGCTGCTCTGAAACAATCTGTATTGCTATATGAATAAATATGAAAAAAATCAAAACATGTTCCCAAACTAATGACGATGCATAAAAATACACAGCACATTCAAATACAGTCAATTTTTAATCACACTGAGATGAATTTTATTAATACTTTTAAATTATGAATAAATTATAAGTATATATACATCAAACGATTTCTCTCACTTTGTCTGGCAACTAAAATGCATTTATTTCCATCCTAGATGGCAAGCGCAGTGCATGCTTTTCACGCAATGCTACCTTTGAAAGCCAAATGGAAGGTATTTTAGAATAATTATGCTGCCTACCTTTTGGAACAACCTTAATGAGAGGAGCATGTGTATGATACCTTAAGATGTTGCCTATGTATGCAGATCACTAGGTTTTGAAACAGAGCCAACAAGGAGTTTTGTGGATGCTGAACTATGTCATAATAGATGCATGATTTCAAGCAGATGTTGACATTATATCAATGCGCATGAGTTGAGTTTGGTCTCTTATTTGGGTTTATCATGGCCTCTGTCAGTGCCAACGCTGTGGGGAGTCTTTTAATGCCAATGGAGGCGGCTTTGAGCTCCCTTCAAATGCCTGAATTATAGGAGTCCTACACATCTGTGCTGAGAGATTAAGCTTTCAATCGATGCCCTGAATGTGACGCCATTGTTGCCAAACCAATTTTTTCCCTGCAAGTAAATGATAGAGGAATAGTATTGTATGACCAAAATCATGTATCACAGTGTGAAAAGTTTTCGAGCAGGATAACAGTATCAGCATGAAGTTGAGTAAATGGAGACAGAACTATTTCTGTGTTTGTGTCAGAGGCTTTTTGTCTATTTATGTCGAGATGTTGCACAATAAGTTGAACTAATATGTTGTCTGCCAAATTCCCAAAGCTCATGATGTCTAGATGCCTTGTACTGATGTGGGAGAAGTTGTTCTTGGCTCAGACATAAAGATGTGTTTCAGCAGTGATAAAAATGAAAAGTGCAAATATCTGAGACATATTTACAGTACATTACATCATATACAGCTGTGCTCAAAATGATTCATACCCTAGGTAAATATGATCAAAATAGGCTGTGAAAATAGATCTGCATCGTTAATCCTTTTGATCTTTCATTAAAAAAAAAAAAACTAACCTTTCATTGGAAAACAAGAATTTAAAATGGCGGGAAAATCTATTTTTTAAATAATTTTTTTCTTCTAATACACATTGGTCACAATACCCTTTGTTTTCAATACTTTTTGCAACCTCCTTTTGCCAAGATAACAGCTCTGAGTCTTCACCTATAATGCTTAATGATGCTGGTGAACACATGACAAGTGATCCAAGACCATTCCTTCATCCAGAATCACTCCAGACCCTTCAGATTCCTAGCTCCATGTTGGACTAATTTTCTATAGGGTTCAGGTCAGGGAACTGTCATAGATCGTATTTACCAAGGGTATGAACAATGTTGAGCACAACTGTATATGATTTACAGCTGAATTCACATTATGATGAATAGAATGTAACTATATACATGTATAATGTACTAAAGACATATATAATGTTACAAAAGATTTCTGCTTCAAATAAATGCTGTTTTTAAGTTTTCTGTTCATTAAAGAATCCAGAAAAAAATGGTTTCCACAAAAATATGAAGCAGCACAACTGTTTTCAAATTTGTTAATAATCAGAAATGTTTCTTGAGCAGCAA